GAGCTGTTTTCCAAATCTTTGATTGGTGATTCAATTCATGTTAAAGAACACTATCATAACAGGGTGAGTTACATCAGAAGTTCTACAAAGTACTGGTAGATTAAGTGTAGTATCTGGAGAAAGTGAAATTATCTCAGACCTCTGTACAATGTTATTGTTCCCTCTTTCTGATAATAATCCCCCCTAGTTCTGAAACAATCCCCCACCTTCTTGGCTCCAAATCCTGTTTTAAGTAATTTTGATCTTCAAAAGACAAGATGATTGAATTCTGACTTGTACATCCATTATTCTTGGCTATAGGTGTTGAGGCTTCATAAACTTGCAGTCTGTCTGTGCCATTTTGTGTACTGGGGTTCCAAGAGACAGAAAGTATATTCCTCATTAAGGGGCTATGTTCAAAAGCACAAAGGGCAGGTAGGCACCCAACTCCCATTGAAAAATCAGTGGAAGTTGGGTGCCTGACTCCCATCTGTGACTTTGAAAAATCTCTCCCTATAATCCCTCTTACCAACTTTCACTTGCTATGGAACAAATATTAGTGACATACCACATTCTCTGTCACACTGCTCAGTTCCTTTATGTTAGGGTTGTTTATTTCCTACAAAATTAAGTTCTACTCTAGTACCCGAATGAATGTATAACCAAAGGGAGAAAAAAAGAAGAAATACACCTTAGTTATTGGTCCAATACTGAGACTTGTCAAGTTTCCTCAACTCCTAAAACCAGATCCAAAGCCCTTTAAAGTCAGTAGACTTTGGATCAGTAGACAGGCTCCTAGAGAGCAGAAGATACTCAGTAGCTCGCTTTACTTGGCCCTACATTTCTAAAACAACATAAACAACAAAATCTAGCATGGTCAAGAAGGGTCTTATTCAAAGTGTATTGAAAACTCAATGAGAGTTTGGTCACTGACTTAATCCTCAATCCTACAAATACTTACACTTGTACTTAATGTTATTCACATGAGCAGCTGTAGTAGTACTCATGTGCATAAAGTTAAACACATGCATAAGTGTTTGCAGAAGTGGAACATTAAATTGGAGCAGGATCAGGCTTTTGATTTCCCTTGAAACAAACCTTTGCATTTTCATAAATTTGCTTGATCACATTTTCCTGAGAAAATATAGTACACAGCCCCATCTAGCCTGTGCCCCACTTCGGCAAAGGACTTACGCATGTGCTTACCTTTGACATATTTAAGTGCTTTGCTTAAGAGGAGTGGGGTTAATCATATGCCTAAAGTTATAACATGAAACTACTCACTGCTTTCCTGAACTGTGGCCTAATTGAGAAAGTGCCTGGCAATGACTTGAATATAAATAATTGGATTTACAGTAAACGTATTTTTATATATTACAGAAATCACAAGCAGTAAATTAACAATACTTATTTAACTTGCCAGAAAAATATCTCAATATATAAATGCTTTAAACTGTATAAGTCAATCCAACTTGAATTAATTTAATTATTTTTCATGGGCTTTTCATTACAACTTTGTAAAAAAATACAATATATTTCCATACTTAAACAAAGTTGTCTCAAGGGGGATTTTGTAAAAAAAACAATAAAAAATGTTTAAGATTCCAAAGCATTACCATATGTAGACTTCAATATTATAAATGCACTTATAGTATATCTCAATATATTAAAAAATCAGATTCTTTCACTTGCTATCAAGCCCTGAATTCAATGTTCTGTTTCCCCTTTAGGAGATGATGATGGCTCTGTATCTGTAAGAATGCAACTGTAATGTCCTAAAAGAGATGCACACTCCCTGGTCAGTGATTATGTCATGAATGGAATGTAGGTCTCCTGCTCTAACCAACAGGCCACATATTTTTGTCAATCTCAGCAGTTGGGCAAGGACTGAGTGGGCCTGGTAATTTAACTACACTATTACCCACGTTTTGTCCACATTAGAGTTAAGACAGCAGCTGAGTAGTATCAAGAAGCCTGCATTGGCATAACTAAAATTTAGAGGATAGACCGACAACTTTTTTTCAGGTGCTGTCATTCTGGTACCTTTCACAAGTGCTAAGTTATTTAATTGTTACTGTTAAGCATACAATACTGATCAAAATATGCTAAGCATTTTCTAAACACGGAAAAGACAATTTATATTTTAATAAAATGAAAATAATGTTAACCTGTTCACATGGTACATGTGTCAATTTATTACATTCCCAATTAATTCTATAGATAACCTCATTCTATCTTCACTAATTGAAGGACCTAAGAAAAGTGTATCAATTAAAACAAGCACAGCCATTCTCAAAATCAAATCTGCACTTTTTTTACACTGTAGCCATTAGAGGATTGTATATGAACTCTCCTGTACATTAAGATGAATTAACATCCTATGATCATTGAGGGCTAGCTGATATCCAGTATTTCCCCCGGTCATTGCTATTAACAATCAAGGGGAATTCAAAGCTAGATACCAGGTTTATGACAGGACCCTATTTCTTAATTTCTCTGGAGCGTTAAATAGTAAAAGTGGAGTTTTTTAACAAGACTGTTATTTAACCCATTGAGAAATGGAACTGGTTTTCTAAATACTTTCAGTGTTAGCTTTCTAGTTCAGAAAGAAAATTCTGTGCTAATAAATAACATACATATACTAGACAAATGTTTTGAGGTTTAATTAAAAGTGTAGCTGCTTATTGACTATTATTGGATCCTTATATGTAAAGGGGAAATCTTGTCCAAGTTTGCCTATTTTCTTTTCTTTACACATTTTTTGTAATAATCCCATCTTTAGGAGTTATCAGTTTAAATAGGATATGTAGAGAAGAATGAATTAGTAAAATTGTGAGTATTTCTGACAAATATTGTGCTTATATAAAATCAGGTATTGTCATTCAGAAAAAAACCCATAATCCCTTTCATTATCATTTCACAGTTCACTGGCATTCATTTTCTAAGGACAACTAATGACTACCTTTGGCTCATCATGTCTGTATTCTATTTCAACATATTGCATTAATACAAAAAATGCTGCCTTAGAATGTTTGCTTAGCATTTGTGTCTTCAATTATATGCATTTCCCCTTGAAGAGATTTGAAAAATTACTATGCTAAAGATAATATAGTTTTATGTAAATAAAAAGCAGGAGCTACAGAATAAGAGATTCCCTAAATAGACATATTACAATGAAAGCAGCCTCTCCTTGATGATCTCGGTTTATTTCCATCAGATTTTGGGGACAGAGTAGGAGAAAAGAAGGGTTTTTCTTAAAACAGATTAGGACAGGGAAGATGTTCAATAGTCAATTGCTTTACCAGGTTTGTCTTGGAAATGGGTATCAGACACTAGAATTACACAAGAAATGACTGCCATCTTCAGGAAAGGTTCAACATTGAATCAGCATTTATTCGCTGCAAACACACGTTTATTAAAGTTGTGACGAAAAGCAAGTGTAATTCAGCAAAAAATACTTTTCCAAACCCCATATCCCTCTATACAATTAAAGAGAATGAGAAATTCCTGTACCAAATCTCAGGTTTCAGGGTAGCAGCCGTGTTAGTCTGTATCCGCAAAAAGAAAGGGAGGACTTGTGGCACCTTAGAGACTAACAAATTTATCTGAGCATAAGCTACATGCTCAAATAAATTTGTTAGTCTCTAAGGTGCCACAAGTCCTCCTTTTCTTTGTACCAGATCTGACATCGTTTCCGGCCCAATGCCCTCCTCCAGCCTCAAAGAAACAGATCTGAAACATAGGGCTTTACAGGAATTATATGTGGCATACACACAACACGGAGAAACTGCAAATTTAACTCTTTGTGAACATCCGCTGCTTTGATTTCACAACACTGTATTCATGCTGTCACCTCTGAAATTCGCCTGCATTCCTTAACGGTGGTATGTGTGTGTGAGAGAGCGCACACCACACGCAATTGATACCACTACATAACCTATTAATCGTAACAAATGGGGTAGTGAGGACAAGGAGACATAGATCTCTACATCAAACAGGGTAATGCTTACGCTGAATAAATCTGCGAGAACTAGAAGACGAAGATGTATTCACATCCTTACTTTGCATTCACCCTCCAAACACACCTCTGGAAGGACGTCCCTGCCTGCTCAGACCATGGAAGCTAAAGCTGAAATGTGACAAAACCCACAAGCTCCTTTTCCCACCTCCTCACAGAGCTTCCTTCAGCTACATCAATTGCCACTCAAATCCAAATGCTGCATTTTATAAATCCGGATCGCAGGGCAGGCTCATTGGGGGAGGGAGGGGGGAGGAGAAAAGAAAGAAAGAAGGTCATTGACGTGCATCTGTTGCTTAATAAATCGAAACCGCGCTGGGAAAGAGAGACAGCCTGCGGTTCTTAACGTAGAAATCATCAACTAAACCCATCCTTCTACAAGCTTATGTCAAGAAGAAGGGAAGCAAACCCAAGCTACCAGACAACCTAGCAACCTAGACACCTGCCCGGCCCAGCTCCCACCTAGTCACCGTGCCCCCTGTCTTCCCCAACAAGCCAGCAGAGGTGGTATCGGCCGCATTCTGCTCTCAGCGACACCGCTACAAAATGCGGAGCAAGCCCATTGATGCCCGCTGAGCTCGTCCGGCCGTGCCCCGGTGTCACTGAGAGCACAATATGGCCCGTCCGCCCCGCTGCCTGCTTCTCCACCACTGCACCCTGGGCTATCTCGCCGGAGTCTCGCTCCATGGCAAAACACCATTTGCAGCCCTCAACATCTGTCGGGTGTTTGCACTCCATGTTGACACACAAGGCTGATGCCCGGAGCTGAGCTCGCGGGTCAGGCCAAGTGGGGAGAGCAATCAGCTGCGCATCAACCTGTCCGGATGCCCCAAGGTCCGGGGCTCTGGGAGGTGTGGGGGAGGGGGAATGCCCTTCCCGCTCCCAGCGCCTGCCGCATCCCCGGGACTTCCCGGGGCACCTCCCCTGCACACCCCAGGCAGGCGCGGGGGAGGGGGCAGCGGGCTGGCACTGAGAGGCTGCCGCCGGAGAACAGCATCCCTACCTCGGTGTCATAGAGCCGGAGGTCCAGCGAGTAGGGGTTGAGCAGGGACTCGTTGCGGATCTGATCCATGGCCAGCTGCACGGCGGGCAGCACGCCCCGGCCGATCTTGCTCTTCTGGTCCTCCTCCGACTGGCTGAGCGGCATCAAGCCCATGATGGAGATCGGCGTGGTGGCGTTGGGGGCCAGCCCGGCCGCCCCCCGGGAGTGTCCCCGCGCCCAGCCCAAGCACAGGAGCAGCAGCAGCATGGCAGGGCAGGCGGCGGCCGCGGCCGCGCGGGGTCTCTTCGGGGAGGGCGGCATGCTGCGGGCGGCGGCGGGGGCACGGGCTCCCTCACGCCGGGCGCATCGCTGGGTGGCCGCTTCCCCCGGCCAGGCAAAGGGCGGCGGGGATGGGCGCGGGCGACGCCGGGGTCTGCTGCCCGCTCTGCACCGGCACCCCCGGCAATAATCCTCCTGGCAATGGCGCCTCCTCCTCCCCAGGTCCGCCCGCCGCAGCCGGCCGCGGCAAGGCGCGGAGAGAGCCCCCCAGCCCGCAGCGGCCGGAGGGGACCTGCCTCCCCTTGCACTCAGCGCCGCAGCCGGCCCGCGCAGCCCCGCTCCGGCGCGCGGGGGGCGGCAGCCACCATAGCGGAGCCGAGGCACGGCGAAAGGGAAGGCTGCGGAGAGAAGCCCCCTCCGGCGGCCGGGCGGCGGAGGAGGGACGCGGTGCCGCGGCTGTGCCCGCGGGGTCTGGGGGAGACGCTAGTGCCGCATTCCCCTGAAGCCGCCGGCAGCCGCTCGCCCCCCCGCGGCCCGCGCCCCGCGGCTCGCCGGACGGGAGAGGCGGGAAGGGACAGTCTCCCCCTTTCCTCCGGGAATCCCAGCCAGGCGGCCCCGCCGCTGCATCCACGCCGCCGCCGCCGCCGCCGCCGCTGCTTGGGATTGTTGTCACCGGGCTTCTTCCCGCCGCACGGAATCGCTGCCGAGGAGGAGACAGCGGCGTCAGGAGATGCGGGTTTGGGCACCTCCACCAGCCTATAGGAGAGAGAGCGAGCGAGTGCTCGGGGGCGGGGGGCTCGCTCCTGGCAGCTGCACTCAGTGCCTGTGAATCCGAGATGTCTTCAGGTAGAAGGCTGCGCTGCGACCACAGAGGGACATCTGGAAACGCGGGGGTGTTCGGTGTGTCGAGGCTTTTCCATGGAAGGGCTCCATTTTCAGTCCGACTTTTGGATTAGAAGGAGATCTGTGGAAGCACAAACAGGTCATTACATGCCATGACTGGTATGTTGTCTGCCTGGGTGATTAGTACAGCTCCGCATATATTAGCCCCCTCCACGGAAAAATGTTTGTAATCAGCTGGCAAGAACTACCCTTCCCATTGCCCCATTCTACGATCAAAACACTCTCCACACCCTTACAGTCACTATGCAAGCCCATCCCACCCCATACACCCCTCCCCACACATACTGAGCACACACTAGCCCACAAATCCACAGACACACTAAGCACACAGCCTCAAACACACCCCACCTCGCGGAGTTCCCTCCATCCCTCACAAATATGCAACCAGCCCCCTGCCTAACACCTGGAGTGCCCGCCCACGCAATACTCCGGGCCATATGTATTCTGCCCCTGTAGAATTTGGTATTTTTCAAGAGGCCATGGAATTCACCATTTTTCTGCAGTCTGGTGCCCTACAAATTCCCTTTTGTCTCCCTGCTTGCAGCTGCAACTAAATAAATGAATGTTTCAGCAGAATTTAGCGTTGTCTCCGTGGAGTTTAGAGGTTGTTGCCATAGAATTTGGCCCCATTGTGCCTCAGAGAATATGGGCCCTGTACATACTGTAGACATTCATTCAAACCATGCAAACACTCCCCAGCCCACACTCACCTCCACATATCTCCCACCTGCACACATACTGCACACTTGATCACGCCTGTACACACTATCCCATACCACTCTCACACAGGCACATTTTCCCCTGTGGAACAGAGGGACACTGTACACAGTCTCCTCCCCTGACTATATATTGCAAAGTCCCTCAACAGGGAGGCTTTAACTCAAACCACAAAGAGAGTCCAGGCAGCAATGTAGGTCTGTCTTTGTTTCTTTAGCACTGGAGGTTAACCACACAGGGAGTGATCAGAGAACAGGGAGCTATGTACAACTAAATGCTTCAGACTCCTCCCTTTTTATAAATACTAATTCTTTTCCTAAAATCACCAGGGATCTCATTACAGGTTCCACATCTTTTCTCTTAAGCAAGATGTTAGCATTGGCCAATAAATCTTACTTATATCACATATGTACTGGTGCTATTGTTGTGATAAATTCAAATAACAGGAAATTACATTGATAGATTAATAATTTTAAAGCCAGAAGGGAGCCTTATAATAATCTAGCCTGACCTCCTGCATAACACAGGCCGTATAATTTTGCCCAGTAATTCCTGCATCCAGCCTATAACTTCTGGTTGAGAAACAGTATATCTTTTCAGAGTGGTAGCCGTGTCAGTCTGTATCAGCAGAAAGAATGAGGAGTACTTTTGGCACAAGTATATCTTTTAGAAAGATATCTGATCTTAATCTGAAGACTTCAAATAATGGAGATTCCATCCCATCTCTTGGAAAGTTGTTCCAGTGGTTTATTACTCTGTTAAAAATGTGCATCTTATTTTCAGTTAGAATTTGTCTAGCTTCAGTTTCCAGTCACTGCCTTTGTCTGCTAAATAAAGGAGCTCTTGCTGACAGAAATCTTCCCCATCTAGATACTTGATCACATCATTATGCACTTTGTAACCTGTCTGATAAACAAAATTGATTGAGCTTCTTGAGAATGTCACTGTAAGGCAGGTTTTTCTGACTTTGAATCATTCTTGGAGGCCTTTTTCTGGACCCCTTGTGATGCTTCCTAGAGGTACCCAGGGTTGTGAGGCACCTCGCTATTACCTGCCCTTAGCACGAGGAAGCCTTGTCTATGCCTGCTGTGGGTGAGCTTCCCAACTGTACCAACCACAGACAATACAAACACTCCTCTCTAGGCCTCGCAGGCCCAGCTGTCAGTGTAGAGGTTAGCAAGAAGCACGCTCCAAACCTCAAGCCCCCCGAGTGTCTCCCTCAAGTGTCCAGCCCCTGGCCCTCTGGACACTCTCAGTATTCAGTCTGCTGCTGCCAAAGAAGCAGCACATCCCAGTTTACCAGTTTCACCTCATATCACCACCACTGTTCCCTCTAAGCTGTGCGCGTGTGCGTGCGCACACAGATCCTAAACCCTGCACACAAGGCGAAACACCACGAACACAAAATTTTGCACAGAAGCACAAAAATTTGCACAGAAGACATTTTTTGTGCATACGGCCTGTCAAAAATTAGAGGGAACCTTGATCACCACTCCACTTAACTCACAGCACTTACATTTGTTTGTAGTGAAATCAAATATACATTTATTTAACAAAGCACTGAGATTCAAAGTAGTAGCAAGAAGTAAGTTTGAAACAAATGGCTAGATCGGGGTCAGCAACCTTCGGCACGCAGCCCATCAGGGTAATCCGCTGGCGGGCTGCGAGACATTTTGTTTACATTGACCGTCAGAAGGCACGGCTGCCCGCAGCTCCCAGTGGCCACGGTTCACCAATCCCGGCCAATGGGAGCTGTGAGAAGCAGCGCAGGCCTCAGGGACTTGCTGGCCGCTGCTTCCTGCAGCTCCCAGTGTCTGGGAACAATGAACCACGGCCACTGGGAGCTGCGGGGGGATGTGCCTGCGGATGGTCAACATAAACAAAATGTCTCGCAACCCGCCAGCGGATTACCCTGATGGGCCACATGCCGAAGGTTGCCGACCCCTGGGCTAGATACAAAATAAAATCATGACGTATTCTAGAGCCTGGATGTAATTCACAAAATAGTCTCATGTCCCTTAGAGTATTGTTCACTCAAAATCCTTGCAGTGCTTTATAGTCAGGCTGGCTGTGACTGTTCTTGCATGAGGCAAGTATATTGTCAGTTTGCCTCAGTGTGTCCCTTTGCACTCCAAGATATGTCAGACCAATCCTTTCTCTTTATTCATAAACAGGACACCCTCCTGATGTTTGTTTCACCCTGTAGATTTCCTCTCTTGTGGATTTCACTCTCTCTCAAGTTACACCTGGCTCAGTATGAAAATAGGCATGCATTGTGAGGCATACAATATACATTAGATATATGACCAGACAGGGGGATACCTTCTGCTTGAGAGGACCATTTCTGAGACACATCACCTCTTGCTGAACTGCCTCAAATCCAAGACCTTAAGAGCATAATTTTCAGTTTATTTAACAAATACACCAGTGGATTACTAGCTGTCAGTAAAAACCCCATATGCCACCCTTTGGTGAACTATTATGCAGATATGACAGATCCAGATGGCACCAATGGGTCCCCGAGTCAAACCTTTCCAGTTCTTCAACATCCTTTTAGAAGTGTTGGCACCAGAACTGGATATTCCAGTGCTGTTTACAGAGGTAATACCACCTCCTACTCCTAATTAATATTCCCCTCTGTACTTCAAGAATAGTCTTAGCCCTCTTAGCCACAGTATTGCCTGGGATCTCATGACCACTAGATTATCCACCATGACTCCGAAATCCTATTCAGAGTCACTGCTTTCCAGAATGCAATTCCCTGTCCTGTAAGTGTGACCTATACTCTTTGAGCTGGATGAAAAAAAGATGTTAGGTGTTGTGACACTGAGCGTCACAAGGCCTAACTTGTAGATGCCTAGAAGTTGCGATTCACAAAGCCTGAGTTAGGCACCTAGGCTCCTTATACAATGAATGGTGACAAATATGCACCTCAGACTGTGATTCAAAAAACCCAGTGCTCTAGGCGGGGAACTGCCTAAACTAGCCATTCGGTGATGTTGACCAGAGGGGATGTATGCTAAGCCCCGTTCCTCTTGCTGAGCTAGGCAATAAGTCCAGGCTGTGGGGAGGCATCAATCTCTGCTTGGGTTTCTCAGCTGTGAATGCTCTCCTGGAGTTAGGCACCTACAACATTTTAGCAAAAAGCTAAGTAGGGGAGGTGCCCACCTTAGAGCTCAGTGTTTCAAGCACTCACCTGGGATTTGGTAAACCAAGGTTCACTTTCCCCCCACCCTGCCTTCTTTGCCAAAGTGGGAGAAAGAATTTGAATAGAAATCTCCCACCTGTCAGGAAAGTGAGCACACCCCTGAGCTATGGGATATTCTGATAAGTGGCTTTCTTAGCCTCTCCTGTTGAAGCTGTTCCATTGTGGATGCATAATGAAAGAGTGGTTAGAGTAGGGGGACTAAACCTGGGGTCTCCCACATCCCAGGTAGGTGTCCTAGCCACTGGACTACAGAGTCATCCTCAGTGCACAAGCAACCTTAATCTTGGCATTTCCTAACATTTGAGTGT